TTCAGCAAGGATACTGTTTTAGTATCATATGGTATTTTCACCTGGACAGCAGGGTGTCTTGAATTCTGCCTGCACTTACCAGGTTGTGCTTTGATTCTGCCACATTTTTACATGTTTGAACTGTTGCAACATCTTTGTTTAAATATGATGCCATATGTATGTCACCTTCTATCAACATACATCAAGTTATTTCAACTCCTTTTCTCGTTACCTGTGATGCCTATAACGCAGTCTCTTACCCTGCGATCACTTTGTGCCATTTTAAACGTTGTCAAGTCAGGGTGCCTTTCGATAGAAAATAATTAATGCAAAAAAGAAGCTTTAAATTTATATTTACTAAACAGAATACAGCCTGAACAGGTTTCCCAACAAATTGGAAGTGACGTAACGTCACTGTAGGTGATCATGTGAGTGCAGATACAGGCGAAGGGGGCTGAAATCACCTGGCCAGGCTGGGAGCTAAGATGATCATTTCGAAGGTTCCTAATATGCCATGTTAGTTCTGCTTTCTGTTATGGGCAAAATGAAAACAGGTGAAACAAACATTTCGACGTGGATTTAAAGACCCTCAAGAATTTGGTAGTGGAGTTCAGTCTCAGTAACGACTGCACTGGGGCTGGTGTAGAGAAAACGAAGGCTTCTACTCTGCCGTGCCCGAAACCGGGGGTGAGCACGTCATTGTGTGTGTCTCAGTTAGTAGTTGTGTTCAGCTGTGTGTGACAGCAGCCTCCAGCAAAGGGGCTTGAACAAATCCGGGAGTTTGTCTTTTACGAACAACAAGGGGTCTGAAGAGGGAGTTCTGAGCCCATGCAGTGGTTCTGTGATGTTGTCACCAGGGGCCCAGCTTGGGCCACTCTTTCCAGTCCTTAGCTTGTGGTTGCATGCCCCCCAAAAGCCTCTGCTGCCCCAGTCATCCTATCTTTGCTGAGGAAGAAAGTGAAAGGACACAAAGGCAAGAATTAGAGCAGTCTTTTTTTTTTTTTAAAGATTTATTTATTTATTTGAAAAAATTACACAGAGAAGGCCGGCGCTGTGGCTCACTAGGCTAATCCTCCACCTGCGGCGCCAGCACACTGGGTTCTAGTCCCAGTCGGGGCGCCGGATTCTGTCCCGGTTGCTCCTCTTCCAGGCCAGCTCTCTGCTGTGGCCCGGGAGTGCAGTGGAGGATGGCCCAAGTGCTTGGGCCCTGCACCCACATGGGAGACCAGAGAAGCATCTTGCTCCCAGCTTCGGATCAGCACGGTGCGCCAGCTGCAGCAGCCATTGGAGGGTGAACCAATGGAAAAGGAAGACCTTTCTCTCTCTCTCTCTCACTGTCCACTCTGCCTGTAAAAAAAAAAAAAAAAAAAAAAAAAAAAAAAAAAAAAAAAAGAATTACACAGAGAGAGAGAGGTCTTCAATCCTCTGGTTCATTCCCCAAAAATGGCCGCAGTGGCTGGAGCTGTGCTGATCCAAAGCCAGGAGCTAGGAGCTTCTTTGGGGTCTCTCATGCGGGTACAGGGGCCCGAGGCCTTGGACCATCTTCTACTGCTTTCCCAGGCCATAGCAGAGAGCTGGATTGGAAGTGGAGCGGCCAGGACTTGAACCAGCACTCATATGGGATGCCGGCACTGCAGTTGTCAGTTTTACCCACTATGACACAGCGCCAGCCCCCAGTCTTTGTTTTAAATAAAGGTCTTTCCTAAAGCCCACCCAGTGACTTCCATTTACACTTCCTTGTCCACAGCTGTGTCCCGGGGCTGCCCCTGTCAATCTCCTGTAGCTGAGCACGTTGCCAGCCAGCAGATTAGGACTCACTGTAAGGGATGAGAGAGAGTGGACGCAGGGTGACAGGTCTGTGCACCCTAACCGAACAGCTCTGATGAGAAGCTACACACACACACACACACACACACACACTCATACACACAAACACACACACTCTAAGCCTTCTCTTTGATCTGCATTTCGGCTTCAGCCAAAGTTGTGTGAAAGGGCCATAAATAAAGCCAGGCCCCAGTGTCTGGAGTGTGAGGAAGTGTAAGATCGTGTTAACACGTCCTGTCGTGTTAGGCTCAGGGGTAGTGAGTGACTTGTCTGAGGCCACAGAGAGCAGTTTCAGGCCCAGAGTTACAAGTTCCCAGCTCCCACACCAATGACTGTTCTCTCCACCTGCCTGCTGTGGTTGAACTCTGTGCACGTGGCAGCTGTGTTGGAGACAGAAGCACCCTGATTCCTCAGGTGATTACAATAAAAATGACTGCAGGAGGTTTCGTGTTTCTTTGTTTTTTAAAGATTTATTTATTTGGACGTCAGAGCCACAGAGAAAAAGGAAGAGACAGAGACAGAGATCTTCCATCTGCTGGTTCACTCCCCAGATGGCCACAACAGCTGGGGCTGGGCCGGGCAGAAGCCAGGAGACAAGAGCTTCATTTAGGTCTCCTGTGTGGGCACAGGGACCCAAGCACTTGGACCATCCTCTGCCATTAGTTTCCTGTGCCATTAGTAGGGAGCTGGATCAGAAGTGAAGTAGCCAGGATGCAAACCGGTGCCCATAAGGGACGCTGGAGTTGCAGGCGGCAGCTTTACCGGCTACACCACGATGGTGGCCCTCCATGTTTCTTATTTGAGGATGCCATGTTTACTTGGTTAATGTTGATGGTGCTGGCTCTGCTTTTTATTATTATTATTATTCATTCACTCATTCATTATTTATTTGGCTCCAACTATGTGGTGAGTGATAGATTAGAATACCTTAAGAGCAAGACTGTATCTTATTAATTTGTGTATCCCCCCTATAGGTTTTCATTGAAGGATGAACAGTTGAGTCATAATGCCCACCCTCAGGTCAAGTTGGGAGACAAGACTGGGAAGTCAGTGATGATAGAGCAGCGCAGGCAGATTCCTCAAGAGATGATGGGGATGAAGGGGACCTAAATGAACCTCTAAGGCAGAAAGGGGGTCTGGAAAGACTTCGCTAGGGGGTGGGTCCCAGGTTCCGTCTTGTCAGGGCTTGCCAGGTGAGGAAAGAGAAAGGCTGCACCTCAAGCCAAAGAATGAGGTGTCTGAGACTCAGCGGGAGTGGGGGGTGCAGGTGAAGTGTGGGAAGAGGCTGTGGAAGCAGAGGGTGAGGCTGAGAGGTGGCTGTGGCCACATCACGAAGACCTCAGTAATTTGTTTAATGATTTGAACTTTTCTAACCCCATTAATGAATGGGGAGCCATGGAGGCAGGGCAGGAAATGAGGCTCAGATGTGCACTTTGGCACAGCCACCTGGCTTTGCAGTTACCTTGGTGCCTTAGTGCAGAGCCCACCTCCAGGGAGGCACCTGCTTTGCAGGAGATCAGGGCAGACTGAACCACACATGAAGATCCTTGTGCCTCCTGGCCCCATTCCCCCTCAGCATTTCCTCCTGGCACAGCTTGTTAACCTTAACTCTCACTCACCAATGCCGTGTGGCCCCTTTCCCGTTTCCTACGCATTGGGTTGTCTTCATTCTCACCCAGCCATGGACTCACAGCAAGTGATGTGTGTGTGTGTGTGTGTGTGTGTATTTGTGAAACAGAAAGAGAGTGCTGGTTCATTCCCCAGGTGCCCACAGTGGCCATATTGGGGTGGGATGGGGTGAACCAAAGAGAGGAATGAGAACTCAATCCAGGTCTTCCACATGGGTGGCAGGAACTCAGTCACTCAAGCCACCACCACTGCCTCCTGCAATGTGCATTGGCGGGAAGCTGGAACTGGGAGCCTGAGCCGGGCATTGAACCCAGTGCTCTGATGTTGGACTCAGGCATCCTGACTGACAGCTTAACCACCAGGCCAAAACCCATTGCCCAAGTGATTCTCTGGAACTCCTGCCAAATAAGAACTTACGTATTCTGTTTGGTAGTTGGTTATCCTTAAGTTCAGGGCCCCTCAGATAGTGGGATATACTAGATGTACTTTCACCTCGAGTTGTGGCCTGAAAGAGAGTATTTCAGGAATTTCAGACAGACAGGAGAAGGGCAGCCTGCTCCTAAACGTGGTTACAGCACTGATCTGGCCTGTCCGTCTTCCTGGTCTACAGCCAGTCCCTCCCACAGGTCTCCTCCCAGTCTGTTCTCTCTTCTCTCCTTTTTCCCCCACTTCCCAAGTTTAGTTCCTCACTCTGTCCATAGGTCTCCAGTTGCCTTTTCTGATGCTGAGCAGATCAACTTCCCTTCTCTGACATCCATGCTAGATGCATCCAAGCCTTCTTTGTTGTCTCTGCCTCTGCTAGTGGAGTTTCTGGTGACGAAGGGTGACATTGGAAGTGTATCCTCTTGGTTAGTGCAAGTGGTACAGTACATACATGTTATTATTAAGGAACTGATTGAACCTCTCTGTGACTTTGGAAGTAAAATACACCCTGAAAAAGCATACATATTTTTTATTTTTTATTTCTTTTTTTTTCTTTGCCTCTTTTTTTCTTATCTGCAGGCATTATTATAACAATGAAGGAAACCAACAAAAATTTTCTCTACACCTCACAACCATAAGTCATCAACTGTTTTTACTTTTTGTTCTATTTCTTTTCCATTCCCTGCCCATGTGCAGTGTTATTAACTAATACAGTTAAAATGTTTTTATTTTCTTTATTTGAAAGGCAGAGAGAGAGAGCAAGAGCGAGCAAGCGAGAGCAAGTGGTAGTTGCTTTCTGCTGTTTACTCCCCAAATGCCTAGGAGCTGGGAACTCTGTCTGGGTCTCCAACACGGGTGACAGGGACCCAACTACTTAAGCCATCCCTGCTGGCTGCCAGGGTGTGCAGCAGCAGGAAGCTGAAATTGGGCATGGAGTTGGGACTCAATCGCAGGAGCTCCAGTATGGAATGAGAGCACCCAGGTGGAGTCTTCGCCACTGTGCTGAACGCCGGCCCTAAAATCAGTTTTGAAGAACATTTCTTTTTAACGCCAAATGATCACAGTAGGAAGAAATGAGAGTAACTGAGATACACAAATATCTTGGGTAGTAATGGCTTCTTATTCTGATTATCTCTCTTTAGGAAAGACGCTGCTGATCCTATAACATGGAGGATTGTCTTCATACCTCATCTGAGAATCTGTCCAAATTGGTCAGCTGGGCCCACAGCCATGGGACCATTTGCAGCCTCATTCCAAACCTGAAACACCTGCTTTCTGAAGGTTCCCATGGGAACCTGACAGCAATGTGGGGCTGTAGCGCAGGCCATGCCTACCACTGGCCACTAACAGCTACTTGCAGAGCTGGGTCCCAAGAGAGAGTCTGTTTCCAGGATAATAGAAGTTTTAACTCTGATAGTCCCAGTATAATCGGGGTGCCTTCTGAGACGCAGACTAGCCCTGTCGAAAGGTACCCAGGCAGAGCAGTGAAAGCAAAGCTAGACTGTAACCGGACCAGAGACTCCTGTGACTTCTCTTACTGCAGTGAGCCCTCCGAGCTGGATGAAGCCGTTGAAGAGTACGAGGATGAAAACACCCTCTTTGACATGGTTTGTGAGTCTTCTGTTACGGATGAGGATAGTGACTTTGAACCCCAAACCCAAAGGCCCCAAAGCATTACCCGCAAAAGGCCTGGAGTGGTCCCGTCTTCCCTCCATTCAAGCTCCCAGACGCAGATGGTGGATGAATGCAGCAATGATGTCATCATCAAGAAAATCAAACAAGAAATTCCGGAGGATTATTACATTGTGGCAAACGCGGAGCTGACTGGCGGAGTCGATGGACCAGCTCTGTCGTTGACACAGATGGCAAAACCCAAGCCTCAGACTCACGCTGGTTCCTCCTGTGTTGGGGCTGCTAAGCTGGTCCCCCACGTAGCATCTGCCATCAGCACGGAGCTGGACCCACATGGGATGTCTGCATCCCCCTCTGTGATCTCCAGACCACTCGTCCAGAAGACCGCGAGGGTCTCTCTGGCTTCACCAAACAGAGGACCGCCTGGTGCGCATGGCTCCAACCAGCAGGTGGCTATGCAGATGCCTGTGAGCACATCCCATCCTAACAAACAGATCAGCATCCCTCTGTCTGCCCTGCAGCTGCCTGGACAGGATGAGCAAATTGCTTCGGAAGAGTTCCTGCCTCACCTGCCCAGCCAGGTGTCCTCCTGTGAGGTAGCTCTTTCTCCATCAGTCAACACAGAGCCAGAAGTGAGCTCCAGTCAGCAGCAGCCCCCAGTCGCACCAACCATAACCACTGAGGCCACAGCACAGTGCATACCAGGTATGGTACGTGAGGTGACCGCAAGTCCCTCATCCACATACATCAGAGAATTCTGCGCCGTCAGCACTCCTAACACCATTGCCTCACGTTTGCTAGAATCCAGTCCTTTATTTTTCTCAAAAAGATATCGAAATAGATTCCATCTAGGTGATGTGATAAAGGAAGTCCGTGTGAAATAAGGCCATCCATCTAGCTGATGGACAGCTGCAAGATGGTACTGTTGCTGTTGCGTGGCTAGATTTAAGGTTGTTGTCTGACCTTAAGCCACATATTTAGGTAGCAAAGTTATTTTTCCAAGTTTTTTTTTTTTAATGCTTTCCTATTAGTATCAAGGTATTTAGTTGCTGTTGGAAGCCAAAATGATGTTGGTTAAGGCATATGATGACAATAGACCTAATGCTTTTCCATCAGTATTTATTTGAACCAATTGGCATTGCTGGTCGTTCAGGTTGGTGTGTAGTTTAAAACAAGTTTGTAAAAAAGGAACAGGTATTGCTAAACATTGTATTTGACTTTTTGTGTCAAAACTGCAGAGTCAGAAAACTTGGATTTTTGGAATATGTGAGCCCAAGTGGAATGGATTGAGAGAAGGGAGAAATAATTACACAAGGCCCCTACCCCTGTGATGCTTGCATGCCAACATTCAGTGTTTACTGACTTTGGTCTGTTGTGATATAAAGGGCTTTGAGTCGCATCCTCTGGGTTCATGATTGAGATCCACCAGGCCAGAAGTGGCAACATGTACCAGGATGAACAGACACACATGGAACACAGAAAGCAGAAATCTGTGATACATTTCGTTTTCTTCATTCCTTCGCAACAAAGCCATGTATTTTGGAAAAAGCTTCTTAGAAGCCTAAGGCACATGTCTTTACTTTGAAAATTCCTAGAAATAAGATGCTTTACAAAGGTGTTTTTCCAATTTTAATGTCAACCTTAAGATCCCCAGAAGAAATCTCCCATTTATGATTATAACAGTCATGATATTATTAATAAAGTATATAATGAAAAGACTCATACCCTGAGTAAAATTATGCTTTTCAACTTTAGAGAATGATAGCTTTATTGAGATAGAATTCATATATCATAATATTTCCTCTATACAGTGTACAGTTTAGTGTTTTTCAGGACTTTTTAATCACCCTAGCAAAGAACCCCGTACTCACTAACAGTCACTCTTCCCTGTCTCCAGTCTTGGCAACCACTAATTTGCTCTCTGTCTCCATGGATTTGCCTACTCTGATGTTTCACATTACTTGAATCATAACATGCGATCTTTTGTTAACACTTTCTTGAACCTAGTTTAATGTTTTCAAGATTGATGCATGTTAGAGAATTTCTTTCCTTTTTATTGCCAAATAATATTTCACTGTATGAATATGCTGTATTTTATTCTTCCTTTCATCAGTTAGTAGACATTTGGGTTGTTTTCGTGTCTTGGCTATTAAGAATAATGTTGCAATGAACATGTGTGTACACGTTTTTGTGTGAGCGTGGGTTTTCTTCTTAGGTGACTACCTGGCAGTGGAATTGCAGGTGTTTAAAAAAAAAAAAAAGGTAATTCTGGGTTTAAAGCTTGGGAGAAGCTGCCAAGCTGTTTTGCAAAGGAGCTCTACTACCTTACAGTCTCACCAGCAGTACGTTCCCGTCTCTCCACGTTATCACCGACACTTGCCACTTTCCATGTTCACAAATGTGACAGCTGCCCTAGTAGGTGCGTGAGGTAGCGGCCCTGCGGTTCTGTTTGCATTACCCTGATGACTGGTGATACTGAGCGGTCTGTCAAGTGCTTATTGACCATTTGTATTTCTTCTGAGAAATATACATTCAAATCCTTGGCTCATTTTTAAACTACTCTGCTTTTTTATTGGTGAGCTGTACAAGTTCTTTTTGTATTCTGGATGTAAGTCCCAAATCAGATATGTGATCTGTAAATATTTTCTCTCATTCCATGGATTGTCTTTTTCTTTCTTTGAAAACCAGATTTTTTTTTTCTTCAACCACTGAATAACAGTGTGGTCTTCGGTGAATCTTTGCATTACTAGACAAAATGTTGTCTTGATTAGGCTGGTGGAAGTGAAGTACCATTTCACTTGAATGCTTGTGAATCTGGCTCATTTTTGTCTGTCCTCCACCTCCTCTTTTTCTTTGTAAATTAGTAGGCCTAGCCTGGCAGAGTTTCCTATACTTTCATCATTTAATTTGTATTTGAAGGTGGAGTTCAGAAATGGGTTTTGCAAAGTGGTCTGATATACTCAGTTTACTAAGACGATTACTGTGTTGCACATCCTTCTGCTGCTTACCCTGCAAAAGCAGGATGCCGGTGGATAGTAAATGAGACCCTGAGGCTCCTTACTAAACCACGTGTGCATATCTTAGCATATAATTATTTTGGAGAAGAAATTGAGGCTATCTGAAAATGAAATAATCCATTTATTACTGTGCATATTGTATTCTTTTAGGTTTTCTTTTTTCCTTGTTAAAATCGTGCCTCTATAACAGCTATAAAAGGCAGGCATTGCCAAGGGTAGCACATCATAAATACAGTCGTAAACTTGGGCTTTACTCTCACAAGGCAGATTGATTTGGCTTGGACTTGAACCCTCAGGAGAAGCAGTGTAAAGAACTGGTATTGGGAATTTCCCAAGGAATAGTCCTCTCGTTTTGATCCATTGATTTCTGGAAGGGTATTGCATTGCTGAGATATCGTTAGCCTTAGAGAAACACTTGGAAACAGCAGTGGAACAAATAAAAATCTAATTGACATCTTTCTTTTTTTTGACAAGTATATACAATTCATATATAGTTTTTCTTTGTTCCTAAGAACCCAAGCTAGGATCTGTGCTCTGAAGGTTTATTTATTTATTTATGTTTGCATATTTATTTCTAATAAACCAATCTTCATTCCAAACATAAATTTAAAAAACTAAAATCCAGACTGTGCACATGTATATAGATGTATACAGATGGACCCTACTTAGTCACTGTGGAAAGCACACAGAGACTGAGCAGAGAGGAAAGGAAAGAATGAACTTTCTGGAAGCTACAGGAGGCTCTTGGAGAACAGATGCTGTGTAAGCTTGAGTCGTTTTCAGATCACTGCAGAAATACTGTCTATCTTTAAATAATATTTTTAAAATAAATAATTTGACAAGTGGCTGTTGAGTCTGCCAGAAACAAAGAGAAATTGTTTCATTTTGTTTAGTTTTCCTGATGCCATTTAAATTCCCCCAGTGGAAAATCATCCTTATTTCTGTTCAGAATTGAACTGATAAAGTTATAAAATGTTAATCAAGGTGTGGATAACATCATTAATTTTCATGTCAACCCTGCCATTCTGCTCAATCCAAATCTTCGCAAACAGTGAGTCAGGAGGACTCACGTTATGAGAAGAATTACTGACTGTCTGCCAGTAGCTTAGATTCCATTAATTTTTTAGGTTTTTATGTAAATTTGGGGCATTTGTCATAATGAAATTTGAATCTATTGCATCATGAGTTGAGTTTTTATGGATATATATATAAATTCCTTAAATATACTGGCATATATATAATATATACAGCTTCATTTATGATTTTGCCCATGAGTCTTTTTATTAATCAGCCCTATCCCCAGAAATTTTATGGTAACAAGCGATAAATTTTTGCTTATTAGATTAATAATACATATACTTTTTTCTTTTGAAAATGCCTGTCTTTGTCTTTTAGTGTGTTCAAATATGTTTTTATATAGTTGAGGCTGTCATGCATGGAAATATATTTCCCATGTTACTATTATCTTTTAATAATTGTTGATGGCATTTCTTGAGCTATGGATTTTATCAATTTTTCTGAAAACTATTCTTTCAACATCTATCTGTCATCTTTTCTGTATCTGTGTTTTTCTTAGGAAGTTCTTTCCCTACCTTGAGATCACACAGATATTTATATTTTCTTCTAATTTTCTTCCACACTTCTCTGCTTTCCTTTTCAGCATTTAACTTTGTATTAGAATGTGTATTTTGGTGTAGAATCCTGCAGCATTATTTTTGCATGTAGTCAAGTGTTCTAGCATCATTTACTGAATAATCCCTTCCTTTACTGAGTTGATTCAGATAGCATACCTTTGTTTATAATTTTATCTGTTTCTGATTTTCAGTTATTTTTATTGATTGTTTTCTGTTTTTCTTCTGGTTTTTACTGTTTGATTATATTTTATACAAAAGAAAATACATTCAGAGAAAGAGTGGTATAGTCACCTAATATACTTTTTGAAAAATGACTCATGTAAAATTGAATTCACTGAGCTTTTAAAAATTGATTAAGTTATATATTAACTTCCAGTTAGTTGGTCTGTATTGACACAATAAGTAATGGTTTCTCTTGTCAGAAACAGAAAACCTGAATTAAAATTAGTTAAAGGAGAGAATGAACTGCCTTGTATTCCAAGACAGCCCTTGAAGCAAGCTTTCATCCCTGTCTTCTTTAAGACCGTGTGTTCTTTCCCGCTTGCCATTTGTCACTCTGGCTTTGTCGGTAAAGTTTGACCTCCTCGACTCCTAGATGGGTGTGAGATGGTCGTGCAGCTGAGTGTCACGTCTAGTAGAAGGCAGGACCCACGACCTAGCACTCCCGCCAAGCCCTGGACCACTCAGTGGGACACTGGGCTCCTGCCTTGCGAACAGTGTGGAAATCAGCTCTCTACAAGCCGCCCTGCTGACGGTGGGGTGGGGCGAAGGTGCTTTCTACGAAGATTCCAGGTACTGTTCCTGAGAGGCGCTGCAAACCAAGATGCCTGTTACTGTTTATATGCTTACCTTTTTGTGGGGAGTGGTGTTTCTTGAGCATTTAGTTTCCCTATGTAGGCAGGCGGAAAGAATTATTATGTCTGTTATTTGGAGCCCGCGTGTACTAGAATGGTTTTCTAATGTAAGGAACAGAAATTTGTGTAAATGTGTATGCTTATGTATATATGTATCTGTTCATCCATGCACATGTTTTATTTCACATATTTTCTTTTTT